CTGAAAGGTGAGTTCGATCTTCACTAGATGCCCCATACTTTCGGCCTTGTGCCACAAATAAGCTACGCTTAGAAAATAACTATTGGGCACCTCGAGGCGGTGTAATGGTTAGCAAGCTTGTCTCGCTAGAACAATTACGACTGAATAGTGAGTTCGATCCTCACTGGGTGCCCCATACTTTCGGCCTCGTGCCACATCTAAGCTAAGCTTAGAAAATCACAACAGATACACAGATGGAACCAAAATCAGAGAAAAGTAGCATGTGCCGCCATAATGACAAATTTTAAATCAATGAAACGGTTGCCCGATAGAGATTCAATCTACAATGCCGAGGTACTAGCAAATGATTTAACGCTAGAAATAGAAACAAACGTAATAAATTCATAATTTTCACTGATCCAAAATCTACGCTTATTTTTTTTTTTTTTTTTTTTTTTTTGAAAAACAGACAACTCAAACCCCTTACTCATAAAACTTTTAAATAAAATCAATCTCCCTAAAAAAAAAAAAATCACCTTTGCTGGATACCTAGCTAAAGTGGCATTCACGGAAATGAAAAGGCTGACAAGGCAGCTAAAAATTCACTAGATCTGCCCCCCACCCGCCAATGCTAAAATCCTATACAGTCCTACAACCATATATTAAAAAGTACATTATGACAAAGTGGCAACAATCGTGGAACAACGACTCAAACTATTTAACATCAAACCGAACATAGGAAAATGGCTTCCCGGTTATAGGAAAACGAGAAGGGGGCTCGTCCTGGCCAGACTCCTTATAGGGCACACATGCAGCACGCATCAATACCTGCTCAAAAACGAAAACCTCAAATATGTACGGCCTATTAGGAGCCATAAATAATTAGACGTATCCTAACAGACTGCGCTGAGTTTCACCAGTTCTGGGTGAAACATTACCAAACAAATAATATGAATGACCTTTTTGATAGCTCACAGAGAACACTGCTTCGAATCCTACCGGAAGACGCTTATTTTTCTAACATGATTTCTCGAATATTCAGGCCCGTAGATGTAAATAAATATCTTGGTTTAATAAATAAAGTAACGTTTAAACAAATTGATTAAAAATTTATATATAAAATGACATTTCTCCCATGGTATTATGGGGCACTGAAATTTAAGATAAGAGAATCATATTCAATTTTGGAGATTGAAAAGTGGCATTAATTACTTTTTTAATAATGTCAATCGCCATCTGCTGTACTCTTGAAATCTGTCCTTTTATTTTTTTTTTTCTCACTAAAGTCTTCTCATTCTCTTCCACCCCAAGTAACGCTTCCGTCTTACTGACACTGTCGCCTTGTTTGGTTTGAAATGATTGCACAAAAGCCATTTATAGCCTGAATTTAATCCTATAAGTTATTTAAAACGTATAAAAGGAACTGAGTATGTTTTATATATTTTCCTGGGAGTAATTTTTTTAGGTTTTGCAGAATTGTTTTAATATTTGGGAACTTAAATTTAAAAATGAGAAAAATACATGTTTCGAGATATATATATATATATATATATATATATATATATATAATTTATTTTTTTTTTTTTTTTTTTTTTTTTTTTACTCGCATTATTTGAAATTAAACGAGTCAAAATTCAGGAAATATAGTTAAAGTTAATTTGACTGAATTACAGATCAAAAAAAAAAAACATGCTACGCCTGGTGTAGTTTTGCCCATACATCACAAATTACTAAAACCTCGAGCCATTTTCTTACATAGCCTCATCACCACTAAATTCGTTCAGAAATATCTATGCCATCAGCTGTCTACAACCGCTTCCTAAGATCAATGGTGAAAAAAGGCTTTCAGCGTGTAAAGCCTGAGGGGGCTTCGCAAAGATAATCCTTCTTTGGACACTGTGGACTGTCGCTACACAAACTGTATCAAATAACAGAAACCACATCACCTGAGGACTACCAACAGCGGCAAAAAGTAAAATGTATGACACATGTAGAAAATAATGACATAATCAAGATGTTAGCATTCCACGATACTTCAAAAAGAAGTTTAAAAAGACCCTCCCCCCAATCAATACTGCAAAGAGCAATAAAAATTACTGACACTTGAGAAACCAGTTTTCTTAAAAAAAAAAAAAAAAAAAGGATTTTTAGAACAAGATTTCATAAATTTTAACCGAAAACAATACTATCTGCTATGTTAAGGAATGCTAAATGTTTTCTTGTAGGGGAACTGCTAATATTACTATTTCCATAACCAAAATCAACTTGATATGACATTTTTGAAAAAGTGTTAACTTAAACCTGACAGTACCTCATCTCAGAAATATAGACAGATACAATGTACACTATTTACATTATTCGGACTATTGTCCTCATCTTTGTCGCCATATTTATTACAACGTTTCGGCCGTTGTACGCTCCGGCCTTCTTCAGGTGGTTGGAATGTCGAACTGAACCCTTTATTTCGCTCACCGGGGTAGACTGTTCTAGTTCCACGTGCCATGTTTGATGGATGTCAGTTGTCAGTTATCTCCTGTTAATTCCCCTCTCCAAGTTCTCCTCTGCCTTAACCGGATATGGAAACTCACACTCTTTGGGTTCTGTTACTGGATCTAACTAACGCCTTTATCCTCTGTGCCATGTGTCCTTGAGGACAAACCTGACTGTCGCTTATATTTAATTTCAGCATGATTCCAATGGCTTCCCTAGCAAAATACAAAAAAAAAAAAAAAATGCCCAGAACTGAGCATCATAAATAAATGATTAAACATTCCAACGACCATAACTTGACAAATATTTGAAGGTAAGACAAAGTTCAACCAGTCTTGAAACCCTGAGACTGCCAACTTTCAGACGAGATATATATATATATATATATATATAATCACCTAACACTTGGTAAATGTTCCAGAAATATCAAATGTCTGCTTGCAAGCTCGTGGTTTCTCATTTGCCATTTTCTGCTTTATCATTCTGACGTGCTGGATTCTTAGCTAATTTAAAGTTCGTTTTTAGATTAAGTATTTTTGTTTCGTGCTTTACCTTGTATGAGACATGCCCCCCCCCAACTTGAAGGATCACTTTGGTTACGTGCCTGTTTTGTTGATGCCATTGGGCGTTGGCATCAGTCTAGGAAGCACATCGGCCACTAATTTCGTTATTTAAATTGTTCGGACTCTTGTCCTCATCTTTATTGTCATGTTCACGGCGTTTCGGCCGTTGTACGCTCAGGCCTTCTTCAGGTGATTGAAATTTCGAACTTAACCTTTTATTTCGTTCACCGAGGTAGATAGTTCTAGTTCTACGTGCCATTCCTTTTCCGGGTGTGTTATTTCCCTTTAACTCAACTCTCCAAGTTTTTTTGTTCACCACTGCCGTAGCCAGGTATTGAACTCTCAACTCTTTGGGTCAAGTCATTGGATCCAACCAACGCTTTTATCACTCACTCACTCTTGAGTAAGTTTTAAGGTGTAAGCAAATGGTCGGTTCATTTTTTTTTTTTTTGAAACCTTCCATTAGTCTTGATTGGTGTTTGAATACCCAACAATTTTTCCCTTTTAATATTTCGCAAATGGCACGTAAAATGTCCATAATTAGTCAAGCCGCTTTTTGAATCAAGTAACAGACTTTCTGGTTTCATTTATAATAATTTCTGGGATTACAAGCAGTTTTATTTGTCTATTGAAAATAAAAATGAAACCCATTTTTATGTTTAAATTTTTGAAATTCATTAATTCATCTTTGCAATATTGGTTTTTGAAATTCTTATCACCTCCCTTCAAATCTTTTTCTTTCTTTTTCATCCTATAAAAACTAGAAAGAACGCTGAATCCTCGTACGAGATCATCAGCATGTAGTCTTCATTTTACATTTATATTTTAGAATATATTTCTTTTCTTTTTTTAAAACCTAGACTGGCTGCCAGCCTATGCTTGATATTCCAATCTGTTCTGCTATTTCATTAGTTCGGTTTCAAAGCCACTGTCTCTGTCGGAATTTGATAATTTGGTTGCCGGTGCCAGATGCGACTGTGATAATAGAACCCTTAGCCATTAAATGCATATTAACCGTCCTGGATCCTGTCTTGTCGCTGGACTGGCTAAATGGAATGTCTCTGGACAAGAGGTTATCAAAATGGGTTCCCAGGAACCTAGAGGTTCCGCAAAGGAGTGTCTGGGGTTCCGTGACAAAAGTTCAGAGTAATAAATGTCTAACACAATACATTATCAAGGTTGGTAAATAATTTCTAAAAAAAATAGTTGCTAACAGATTTAGATTGTTCTATAATGTTGTGATATATGTTGTAATAATCTTCTATATAGTCTATATCAGTGAATATTAATTGTATAATGCTACTGCTGAATTGAAAAGTAGTTATTGATTGTGATATCATCTGTGTACTATGACACCATAAATCTGAAAGTTAATTTTCTCGCCATAGTGAAAAAAAAAAAACTCTGGCTGATAATTGACTCTTGTTGGCGCAACATTCGTGTGTATACTCCCCGGTTAAAAGAACAACCCCCCCACCTACTTATGTGAAAGTGGATATTTCTATTAAGCTGCCATAAAATCTAAATACCGATATAGTCATAATCCTGCTGCTGACTTGAGAATCAAACTCTCTAGTATAAAGCCAAACATTAAAAAAAAAGTGACCATATGAAACGGAAGCATTGTTCTCATTGAATGGTTCCATAAAATTCTGATGACGTATGAAATGAATTTCATGTCAGCATTGCTCGTAATTCTGATTCGTCTGTTACTTTTGGAAAGTATGAAAATTTAAGAAAAAAAAAATTACATCAATATGTATTATTTTTAATTGCTATTTGAACGCACTTGTTATTCATAAAAGTATTAGGCAAATATTTATATTACGACCCGATAAATGTATTAATGTCTGTGCTCCCTGCTCCACGCAAAAAAAAACTTCTGAACCCAAAAGGGTTCGGTGTCTAAAAAAGTTTGGGCGACTCTGGGATGGACGTTTGCAACGCCGATGTGCCCTGTAGGCTTATGGCTACATCGCGTTGATACACCGGTTCCCGTACGATCACCGAAGTTAAGCAACGTCGAGCTTGGTCAGTACCCAGTTGGGTGACCGTTTCGAAATACTTGATGCAGTAAGCTTGGATGTGCCGGTGGTGTAAATGGATAATGCCTCGGAATTGTTAATCGGAGATTCGAGTTCTAATTCCCTTTGCGTTCTTCATATTGACTTACGCGCAAATATCCTTGGGAAATCTGTTAATCCACGTATTCTGTCCCAGCTATGGGTTAATTACTAAGATTTGTATCTTTTATCTCAAAAAAAAAAATGTCCTGCATTGTAAACACATTTCTGCATTAAATAACCTGCAAAAAGGTTGATAAGCCGTAAAAAACGAATCGACCAAACTGATGTACCGTCTCTTTAGAACGTGGACTATCATGACTCTCCACAATTTCCTATCATTTATATCTTTAGTAAGTTTTTTTTTCAGTATCCCTCTCACGAACTGTTGCCTCAGAGCTTTTGCTTTCAGTATGTCCTGTGTGCGTCTAATTCCCCAAGCCCTCTTTCCTCATTATGTTCCCTAGAAATTTCAATTCTCCCTTTTTGATTCTAAGTACAAGTGTCCTTTTTGTTTTTATTTTCCTTAAAACATCTCTCTTACACACATGTTCAGTCTATGGTATTCTCAGCATTATTTTGTAGAACCACATTGCCTCTACCGATATAAAAACTCCACCCACACACATACGTGCCGTTCCATGAAAGAATATAGGGGGTGCGGCAAAAATACCTCCCACATAATGGTAAGACAGTATCAATGGTGACTTCATCTCCCTAATGCCTTACAATTATGTGGGGGGTATTTCTGCCACACCCCGTATTATCTTCACTTTGAAGAAAGAAATGACTGAACTCTGAGGTTTTATTGGTTAATAAATATATCAAACAATTAATTTAAATTTTTAGGAGAGAAAAGATTGTTAATAGTCTTTCGTTTTATTTTTATAGCAAACTCCACAGAAATTGTCGTCTGCTTTTTTTTAAGTTTTACTGGCTTTTGAGATAACCTCACTGATTGGTTAATAAATACTAATGTGAAATTTTTAATTTGGAGCTCACGTGATACAACTTTACCTAAAAAAAAATGAGTTAATGTCTCTGTGATCCTATTTTTGCATGGAATTGAGAATTTAGTGATATTACTTAAATCTATTGAATTTTTAAAAAAATAATTTTAACGGTTTTCAGAAGCACTGCCTCTAATTTTATTATTGATCTCCGACTTCGAGACTTGTGTTAGTGATAAAGCAAAATATGCAGAACCTTCCAATCAATAGCAACATATTTATTTATTTTTACGATAACTGAGCGGTAGTCTGAGAAAATAGCTTTCAATATGGAGGTGCTTACGAAGCAGAAATGAGTCGTTGCATTCCTTGGAGGCAGAAAAGAAAACTGCACTCATAGGCCTACATCGACGCTTGCTGAACGTTTACCGAGATCAAACATAGTATGTGAGCACAGTTAGAATGTGAATAATGATTCGCTCCTAATCATTCCCTTTGTAAGAAGGAAGTTCTTTCTTTCTCATAACTCTTACTTTGCAGCACAGACTCTCGGGAGGATGCTTTCCCGATCGCTACGATCTTTAACTATTATCTATCTTACATATCCTCGTGATACGTTCTTCTTTCCTCTACATAGTGGCACTTGAGCCTTGTATTTGGTAAGAAGTAGTTAAAGAATTGTTTCGGAAACCGCTGCATAGCACTCGACATTGGTATAAAATGCGTAGTCAATAATAATCGTGGGTGGGGGGATAGTGTTTTTGTAAGTGAAAACTTGCTCTATCCAACAATGTTGTCAGCTCTGTAGCGGTTATTACTGTGGAAATAAATCGGAGGCATTACATTTGGAGCGTCTCGAGTTGGACACCGTTTTCTTTTGCTCGATGATTCTTTTTCTTTCATTCCATTCTTTCGCCTCCCGTTTTTTCTTTCGCCCCCCGTTTTTTCTTTCGCCTCCCCATCATGTCGTATCCCGTCGGCCACTGTTCACATCTGATAATGACTCGATTTCACAACATTCAACCGACATCTTCTATTTACCGAGATTTGTTGGCATCACTTTCTTTCTCCCAAGCATTTGTCGGGTGTCGCATGGACGTAGCTTTCGTAACCAAGGAAACTGCTTTCTGTAATCATTAGTGACGCTTTCAATGTGCCGGCCATTATAACGTATCGCTTGTTAAAATTTCAAAGCGCGTCTATATACATGATGTCTTTCAAAAACTACACACATTTTGAGTGGTTGAATTCTGTCGTGGGTTAGAAAAGGAGTAACAGCATTTTGCTGCGACTGCCTGATCAAGTTAGTGTTTTATCCAAATTGCTTAATTATTATATGCTTAGCCATTCAAACAAGCATACCCATCTTAATTCTTGTAACCCAGCCCTATTCAGATCCTAGTGTTCTGTTTATTGAACAGGTGCCACTCTCTCCCTCTTCGTGTTCTGTGTATTAAACAGGTACCCCCTCTCTCTGTTTATCTCCCTCTTTCTTCGTGAACACGTGCGCCCCTCTGTCTCTGTGTTATTGAATAGGTGTCTCTCTTCGTGCTTTTTATTGAACTGGTCTCTCTTTCCTCCATTGTTCTCTTTATTGAGCAGGTGTCTCTCTCCATCTTTCTTTTGTTTATTGAGCAGGTGTCGCTTTTTGCGTTCTGTTTATAAATAATAAATATAAATCTCTTTATTCAATCTACTGTGTATTTTGTTCGCTTTCTGCTTCCTATGCATAATGAGTAATTTGTATCCCTTTTGTGTCCTTTAGTCGCTTCTCGCTCTGAACACATGGACTAGAGAATTAAAACGTTGCTTAAAGCATAACGGATTCCCTTGTAATTGTGAGTTCAATGCCCGTACCTCGTACTCGTGAAAAGCCACAAACGCTGAATCCGTGTAAGAAGCGGACGAGTGACCCAAAGATGAATGAAATAGGTGGATATTCACCGATACGAAACATTTAAATATGGAAAGGAGAATAACAATTTACTCTAGTGGATTAAATAACGCTTCGGTCCGACATACCAAGAAAGTTACAGACATCTTGAGTAGACTGGAAGGCACAACGGCTGATTTGATTTTTTATTTTATTTTTTTATTTTACTTTCCTTTTTTTTTTTTTGTCTGTGTGTGGGGGGGGGTCCAACATGAGAATATAATGTCTATACTTCAGTGATGAGGTATTATAATTATTTGCACTATTTACATTGATAGGACTGTTGCATTTGTGAATAGTTCTTGAAAGTTTCATTAACATCCGATAATTATTTCTATTTTTTGCACGATTTTTCAAATTAATGTGTGTCATACCAAAAAATGTGCTAAAAATTGTCTTTATTTACTAGTTCCGCTGATACAAATAGAAACAAGGTTTTTTAATCAAAATTTAGAATTTTCTAAAAAGAAGGAAAATTTTTAAAAAATAATTAAAAAAAAACTTTGGTCTTTCCTCTTAATAATAACATAAGCATTTAGACAATAAAATTTTGTTTTCGGCAAGGTTGGCGTCTTTTTCATCAAGCTATGCTCTTTTTTTAGCGATTTCGTGGATGTACCTATATAAAAGTGAACATAGAAGTCAACTTAGAGGCGACAGTCTGTTTCAGGCCTGACAATTGCATATAGCATGAAACAGACTGACGCCTCTAAGTGTTGACTTCTATGTTTACTTTTATATTTACACACGCTCTATCTCTGATATCGAACACTTTATCCCATAAATATAGCACACCTTAAGACTATATATATATATATATATATATATATATATATCTCAAAGTATAAGATTGGTGTATACGGAATAAATTCTAATAACCAAAAAATACTATTCTTAAAAGAGTGCTCAATACAAAGTAGAGCAAAAACAATTTATTCGAAAATTATAACATAAATGTTATAAAATCACTACAAAAAATAGCCATTTTCTTTCAACACTTCTGGTAACTTATCAAGTGATGGTGTTCGATGGGGAGTAATTAGTTGGTTAATGTATTTTGTTAGATGATATACAGGAGTTGAAATTTGCGATATGATAGGACGGAGAGGATAGTTAGGTTTATGTGTTTTTATAGTGCTGTATATGTAGCCAGGTCTATAATGACCAACAATTGTAGGGAGTTTTAAAGATTTCTGTTCAGTATTATTAGCATTAATAAGTTTAAGCTTTGATTTTAGTTGGTTGGTCGGGTTCTTGTTAAGTTTTTTAAACTTTATGTGATCATGGAGTATGTGATCAAGTTTTTTGTTGCAATCCAAATTGTTTAGGATGACAAAAATGTTGGTCTTATCAGCTTTGTTTGTTTTTTTTTTTTGTTTGTTTTTTTTTTTTTTTTTTTTGTTTTTTTTTTGTTTTTAATGTCAGGGTAGTTGCGTAGTTCTTGTGCGGCAATTTTCAGTTGTTTAGAAAGTATTTTTGAGGAGTTTCTGCTTTTATCATGCCGATCCTTGAATGCCTCGGCCTTAAGTCTTTAAATTCTGGTGTAGTTTCTATTAGTTGTTCATCCTGGAGTTTAACTATGTTTTGGTATAGGGTCTCAATTTCTTTTTTTTTTTTTTTTTTTTTTTTTTTTTAAAGTCGATTGTACTTACAGTATATATGGCAGTTAGGTCCAAGGTTAAGTAATTCTTTTTGGTGCTTAGTTAGTTCATAAGTATAATTGTGTTTAGTAGTATGTACAATTTGCTTAGTATTGAGATTTCTAATAAAGCATCTTATTTGTTCGTTAACAATATAGTTTGGAAAGCTATTAATTAATAAGTGTCTGTTTTATATTCTTTAGTTCACTGTAAATATATATATATATATATATGACTTCAGTTAACAAAAACAAAATAGTCTTTGGCTAGATCATTTGGACAGTTTTTACACACTCTGTCCAGAAAAGAAATCATTTGTACGAATATCAGGAAAATCTGATAAAAGGCTTAATCGCAGTTCCTTATCAATTCCCTTCAGTGAAATTTGTATAAAAGATTCATTACTGCCCAAATACACAATTTTATATATTCTGTGGATTTGGGCAGTGAATATTCTTTAAGGAAAATGCTATTAGAAACGACGGGTACAT